GGGGGGGCAGCAGGCAGCCGATCAATGACTCTCACTGTTGATGTTTCTCTCGCTCCCCCCTCTCTGAAATCAATAAAGATATATTTTTTTAAAAAAAGAGAGAGAGAAGAAAATCCTCTTCCTCACAGAATTTACTCAGTTAGTGAATGTAGAGGAAAGAGGCAAATAGTCACCAAACAGCCCAGTAATAAATGTGGCAGCAAGACCTACTTCCCTGTGCTAAAGCCAGTGTGCTAAAGCCAGTGGGCCAAAGCCTGAGCAAAAACAAGAGCTTTCTGATCTCCAAGTATCTCCCTCAAGACATTTAGCAGCCACCAAAGGAAAGACAGTAAGAACCAAGCTGACACCAATCGAGAGACCAGGGGCATCTCACCAGGAACAAGGCACAAGGCCATCGGGCACCACTTGATAGACACAAAGGATACAAAACTTCTGTGTTAGTCTTGACAAAAGACTCCTTTCAACCTAACTGTATTCATCTCAAGAGGAAACCTTGTATCCACCCCTCACTACACTCAATGGAAAAACTGTAACTGACTAAGCTGAAGGTACATACTCCTGAAAATAAACACAATGAAAACAAAAGTGCAGTTACATTTTCAATTAGCTAAATTAAAAAATAAACCCTGATCACAATAAAAACTTAATACATTTATTTCTGAAAAGCCTCATCTGAAATTAAATTCCTCAAAGCAAAGGACTATGAGGAGCTACATAAAGTTTAAGAGAAAAACACACTAATTTTTTAAAATTTTGATATTAATTTACTTGTTTATCATTAGCTCAGGCAAATGGTATTTAACACCCTTCTCCTACACAACTGGATTCTGAACATGACCTGCTAACCAAAACACTAAGCTGATTTTGGTTCAACACACTTTTGTTTCAGGGAAGCATCCGGGATCTGACCTTTGGAATGTGTCCTTTACTCAGCATCATTCTCAGTGACGTTTAAGAGGAGGTGGGGCTTGTGTCCACCCACTCCCCACACTCATGGAGAGCTCACTCTTAACTTTGTGAATGTGGGATGCAAAATGCCCTCTTCAAGTTTTTCACAGTCAAGGTGTGTATCCCATGGCTCTAGGGGAAAGGTTTTCGTGATGATCCTCTCGAAGCAACAGTCACGGGAGACCTCCCTGCTTCCAGCATGGGGGGCCCGCCCACATCCTCCCAAAGCTGGAGGAGGAAGGCCGCTCCCTGAAGAGGACAGATGCACCGACACTCTATTAGGTGCTACTCTGAACTTACCCTCGCATTCGTGAGGTTCACAAGACTGCGGTCTGGACACAAAAGGTCAAGCTTCTGGTGCTGGAACCACTGGATCAAACCCCCTTATTGAACCACCATGGCGTTTTGGACCATGTCTGCGTCTCCCGTGACATCACACGTGTGTCTATGTTACTGTTTTTCATGAAGCCATCAAGAGATTTCCTCTAATTTATGAGTTAGAACAGGTCCTTAGGGACTTGTTTACTCAGCTCATGGCTGATAAACAGCAAAGAATTATTGGAATTAAAAACATCAGAGGCTCCTCAGTTTGCAGGGAGCCGAAGCAACCCCATCTCCTCTGGGGATGAACAGCTGCCCCACATTCCTAGCCTCTCTATACGTGGACAAGGCACTAAATTACTGAAGGAGCTTCATCAATTATGCTGTCTGCTGTCATCAGTCACCACAACTTTTATGCCTTTGGCCACTGGCAGCTCCAGACTGCAGTCAGACACAAACGGAGGGAGTGTTCCTGGCTTTCCAATTCCTGTCACACTGTGGACCTGCTTCCAGGCTGGTTCCAAGTCTTTCCTGTTGTTCCCAAGGGTCTAACAGGTTTTCTGTGCTATGCCTATCGCTTTAGCATAAAGCCTGAGGGATGGTTTCCCACTGGAATTTTGCTCCTGATGGGATAGCTTCACTCTCTCAGCTAGTCCTTGAAAAATCGGATTTCAAAATCGTCATCACACTTGTTTGTGATTTCTATGCAGCCAGTAAGTTCACAAGACTGAAAGCCCACCCAGCAGGCCCAGCCGTGGTCCTCATTACACACGAAGACAAAGCCACAATGGAACGATCCTTGGCACCCTCCCTCCCTTCCCTGCCCATCTCCTCCCCCAGGCGCCTGCCTTTTACCTTTCCCTTTCTCTCTCCTAAGCTCCAAGGGTCCTTCTTTTACCTGTTACTTTCTATATAAACTCTGTCTTACTAAAAATAAAATTGTAACTAACCTTAGTACCTTAATTTATAAGGCAGCCTTCACCTTTAGGCTTTAAAAAAGACAGGTTTTTTTTAAGCCCTAATCCAGGTAGGGCCCAGCAGTCAGGTGGAAAAAACTAAGGCAGAGGCATGATCCTAACTCGAAACTACGGATTCCTACATGTGGCTCACACTGGCGAGGAACTGTCAACTTATGAAAGTGAAACCTCACGGCGCTGCTAATAAGATGAAGGAGGAAATGAGGCGGCACAGGAGATGCAGCCACGGGAGCCCACACCAGCGACAGGGCCGGGCACACAGAGCCCACGTGGCGCCCGCACCCTGGCTGAGCCAAGGCACCCTCGCTGACCTCCATGAGCAAGCACCTCAGGGAAATCACAGGCCTCACATCCTAGCTATGCTTCTCGGACACTGAAATAAGTGCCACTGAATTTTAAAGATGTTTCTTCACACACCACCTCACTCAGCACACACAAGACTTTGGGACAAACACTGACCTGCACTAAGGAGGTCAACCCTGAGTAGAGAGGTCGGAGGTCTCCAGGGAGATGCAAACAGAAATGGAGATAAAAATATGCATCTACAGAGAAAGGTGTACGATTCAATAAGCAGTGCTGGACAACTGAGTGGCATAAACAAAGGACATCATATACCCAGTCTTCACATCCAATGGCTTCCTCATGAACCTGAGGCTCATGTGCACACACAGCACTATGCGAAGAGCACATGGAAATAAATAAATCTCAATGAAGAAGAAGCTTTCTAAGAAACATTTCACACATTAAGTCCAGGTCAGTTTGTCATTAAGTTATTTAAGCCCTTAAGTTACTTAAGAATGACAAATTTGACCACATAAAAATTAAAACTTTCTGCACAGGAAAATATCAAAACCAAGGTTTAAAAGAAGTGACAAGTGGTAATAAATATTTGTAACACTGCAAAACCAACTACTTGTAAAAGCTCTCAATCATTTTAAAAGAGTAACAATAGAAAAATTAGCAAAAGTTATAAACAGTGCGTAGAGAAATAAACAAAAATATCTTTTAAACATAAGAACTTTATCTTTACTCATTTTAGGAAAAAAATGCCATGAAACACAGTGAAATCGGCTTTTTTACCTATCTAATTGGCAAGCTTGGCCCCTCAGGACAGGCGGTGAGGTGCAGATGGACAGCAGCCACTGCCAGCACAGACAGACATCCCCCAGCAGGCAACCCGGAAACGTGTGTTAGAATCCACAGCGCACAGCCACCGCCCGAGCACTTCCAGGCACTTACTACACAGGGCAGGCACGTGACAAGGACACGCACTCAGTGCTGTTTAAATCAGCAAAACACCGAAGCCCCCTCAATGGCCACCAAAGACGGCAGCTAACGGAGCTACGGGCACTCACTGCAGGGAGGGCCACAGCTCCTTCCAAGCAGCCAGGGGACCTGCGTGTGCGGACCTGGAACTATCCGCAACTGGTCTTACCCAGGGGAGGGGGAGCAGCAGCCTGCCAACACGCTCCATCCTGCGTTTAAACCGGAGGAGCACACACCTCAACCCTTCTATGTGCAGAAAACCGCTCTGCGGGGACAGCGACAACCCGGTGACAGTCTGACCGAAGAGGACAGGAGGTTGGGGGATGCGAGCGGGGTGAAAGGCAGGGAGACGTTTATTACTGTACTCGAATCTTTTCTACTGCTTGAATTATTACCCAAGTACATAGAATACCTTCTCACTTTTTTAGAGTAAAAAACTAATGAAGCTGTATAAAACATAAATTTTAAAAACATGTCAACATAACCAAGAATAAGCCCATAATTAAGTGGCTGTGAGGAAAAGAACAGTAAGGTGTCAGCAAAAAGCAAATTCAGGTTTTGATTCTTAACAAGTTTTTGGTTTCAGTTTATAACAAAACATCTCTTACCTTTAAAGTTCCACAGCCTAGAAAAGGCAGGGGTCCTGGCAGCCCTTAGAGACCCTTCCATAAAGCACACTGACCAAGTGTTTTTGGATGACGAAGCCTACGGTCCTCCCAGCACCCACGAGGCTTCCCACGATACTCTCTCACCTCCCTGCTGTGGCTCTAACCCTACCCATCAATACGTAAACAACAGCAAACTTCTCTACTTGATCTTTGAGCTTTAGGCACATTATCTTATCTCCTCTGAAAA